ACCGTCAAGAAAGACTGTTCTCAGATGGGTTGGCGCCCACACATCCAAGCAGCACTTCCTAGTCCAGGAGGAGGTACCCATGGGGGAGTTGGAGGAGTCGTTCAGAAAGGTTTCTATTGTAAGAAATATCTTCGGTCGGCTCTTGGAGGAGCCCAGGAATTTGGATCGGGTGAATGTTGGTTCTTCCTGGAGTTGAAGACCCACGGAGTGTCCATGGCTATTGGTGTGATATATCTTATTTCTGATTTGGGGCTCGTCGGTGACAATTTAAAGCGTTTGCAGCAGGTGACTGACTTCCTGCGCATGATCGACACCCCTTTCCTATTGCTTGGGGATTTCAATATGCCTGCCGTTGATCTGCATGAATGCGGATTTTGTGAGCTTGTTAATGGCGTGGTGGTTGAGCCCATGAATGTCGACTTCACATGTGATAAAGGTTCTGGTTCGATGATCGATTATGGAGTAATTTCCCGATCCCTTCGTCCCTATGTTACTATGAACGCTGATCTTACCTCTGGATTCAAAACGCATGCATGTTTACATGTCCAGCTTCCTCTTAATATGCTATCGGTTCCTGTATGTAAGCGGGACAAACCACCACGCTTTCTACCTGCCGTTGGGCCTGACCTGCCTTGGCACGTGCATTTGCATCGAGTTCCCCGCCAGCAAGTCTCTGTCCCTGCCGAAGTTCTGTCAGCTTTCCTTCCCTATCATGGAGCTGGACCTCCAGGACCGCTGTCCGAGGGGTATCAAAAATGGTCAGTTGCAGCTGAGAATCTGATGTTATCTCGGTCCTGCCAGGAGTCCCTTGGGGGACAAAGAGGTCATGGAGTCCAGTTAAGAATGGGAAAACTTGGCAGGAGAGGTCCCCTTCGGCAAGGTTTTGCCTGTCCGACGCTGGCCTTTTGGTCTTTTGTTTCCTCCAGGCTGTATGATTTGAAAGTTGCCCTGAAGCGAGGGGGAACCCTGCGCCTTTCTGCCCTCAGGAATGTTTTAATTCAGCGAGCCGACGAGGTCGGCCACCACATCACCGCCTTGGTGAATGCCAAGCAAGCCCAGGTCTGGGCTGAGCGTCTGAAGGACCCCCCCCTTGACCCCACCTCTGTTGATGTTTTGCAGGAAGGGTTGGAACCCATCCTTCGTCGTGCGTGGACGCAGGCTCGAGAAACTGGACAAGGGTGCATTAAGAAGTGGTTGTCTGAGGGGCTCAAGGGGGGAGCCAAGCCCATTCATCAGTGGTTGAAGCACGGTTCCAAGCAGGAAGTTGAATTCCTCATTTACCAAGGTAACGTGGCCCAATCCCCCACCGAAATGCTTAGAGTGCGAGAGCTGTTCTGGGAGAAGTGGTGGACCCCATCCAGTAGCCAAATCGATTCCCTCGTGTATAGCATGGGTCAGCTTAGACACGAGGCGGCCGTTGAGGCCACGGGTTTAATCCCCATCCAACCGCAGGACATCGTGCGGGTTTGCAAGTATTTCCCTGCAGGAACGAGCCTTGGAGTCGACAGTTGGTCGCCTAAGGACATTTTGCAGCTGCCGCCAGAAGCTTTGCAGGACCTGAGTGACCTTTTCAATGCGTTCGAGTATGCCCAGAGTTTCCCCGTCCAGGTGTACTTGTGTCTTGTGGCCCTGATCCCTAAGACTGTGAGCTCGGAAAGGCCTATCACCAAGTGCCCCACCCTGTATAGGATGTATACTAAACTCAGGGGTGACCGTATTTTGGACTGGACTGACTCCCATGTTGCGTTTTGGGATACCGCCGTTAAAAACTCCTCGGCCCTGAGAGCGGCCATGGTTCGCGAGTTGGTCCACGAAATCGCCCGTGAAGAAGGATGCCAGTCCCTTTCGGCCCACTGGGATATGGAAAAAATTTTTGACTCCATTGACCCCTCTAAGCTGGTCAGGCTGGCCAGAGAGGTTGATTATTCCGCCCTCGTGCTGTACGTGGGGCTGCTGATCCACACCGCCCCCAGGGTGCTTGAGGTGGAATCTGTAGTGTCTCGAGTCCTTGGAGCAGGACAATCAATCCTGGCAGGGTGCTCCCAGTCTATGCCGTGGATTAAATGTTACTTGTATGACATCTTGGAAGCTGCCCACCAGAGAATCCCGAAGGTCCCCATCTTTGCATACGTTGATGACTTAACCCAATCCCTTCAAGGGAGTGCTGAAGCAGTTGCTCATAATATTGTCCCAGCTATCGTTGAGTTGCACCAAGCTCTGGTTGACAGAGGATGTGTTATTTCGTCTAAATCATGTATCGTGGGCTCTAGTGTTGGTTTGACTAGGATTGTGCACCAGAAATGTGTTAATCTTGGGCTCCCTCTGATGGTGAAAGATACTGCTAAGGATTTAGGCGTTGGTACCACGGCTGGAAGGAGGAGGACAATGTGGAAAATGAAACAACGGCAGGCTGAGGGTTCCCGACGCTCCAAGAAGTTGTCTTTCCTGGCAGGCATTAATAAGAAGGCGAAGCGCTTGTTTAAGCCAGCCGTGCAGGCTGTTTCCACTTGGAGTCACCAAGTGCTTGGCCTCCCGCCCTCTCTTGTACAGCGGCTTCGAGGTCAAGCTGCGAAAGCATCAGGCTTGTGGGCTTCAGGCGCCTGCTCCACTACGATTTTGTCGATTAATAACCCGATGCGAGATGACCCTGGGTTTAGATTACGGTATGAACACCTGCTTGAGTGGGGGAGAACCTGGTCCGTCCTGATGCCAAAGCAGAAGATGAGTATTAACAAAGTTTGGTCGAACCTCGTGAACAAGTTTTAATGGAATCGACCCGACCTCACGATGGCGACGGGTTAGGGGACCTATTGCGGCGGTTATTGTTTGTATCCTGGACCTCCATGGGCGTCCTGAATCCCCTATCTCCTGGAAGTTCCCTGGGCCGTACCACGTGAAAGTTGACTCGGGCGATTTCAGATTTTTCCTGTGGCACGCAGTGTTCCTTGCAGTGTCGCGTGAAGTTTGGCAACGAGCTGCAGATCACTTCTGTGGAGAAGGACTCCGTGGAGGTGTTGATTTTACAGTCTTTAAGCAGCTCCACGCCTCTTTGAAGAAGAATGGCGATGGAGAAGGAGCTGCACTGCTCACCAACCTGATCATAGGTGGGCAGTGGCCTGAAATGAGGTTAAAAGACCCGGGGTATGAAAGCAACGGAGTTTGTCCCAGGTGTGGTTTGGCCCCAGAGACCCCTTTTCACCGGTTTTGGGAGTGTGAAGACAACAAAAATATCGAGGATTCTGCGATCCGACTCACTGATAGGTTTACTGATGATGCCCGCCAAGGGGTCACTGACGCCTCTTGTTTTTGGACCCGAGGGTTGGTCCCCATGGGCTGGACGTTGGATGACCTTCCTGATGGGCAGCTCCGCGTTTGGGCCTGGGGATCTTTCCTTGAGTCCATCAGCTCTGGAGTTAAAATTGTTGGAGGAGTGTTTGGGACTGACGGTTCGGGAGGAGAACACGGCAAGGATTGGAGGTTGAGGAGATGCGGATGGTCTGTTGTTCACCTGGACCCTGATTCCCTAGAAGTTCGAGGTATCCTTTGTGGGACCCTGCCTACTGCTGGTATGTGTGTGCAGAGCTCTCCTCGAGCAGAACTATTTGCACTACATCAGCTCTTGGTTTACACCGAGGGCCCAATTCACGTTTACATCGATTACCAGCCTATTGTCTGGGCCTTCCGAAGGAAAGGAGCACGGGTGGATGACTCTACCATGCTGGACATATGGCAAAAAGTTTGGACCACTCTTGAGGGACGATCAGGTGATGTTCGTGCGACCTGGGTTAAAAGTCATCCGACCAGGAGACAGATCGACCAGTACCAGATCTCTCCCCACGGCCTTGTTGCTAATTCGGTTGCAGATGTCTTCGCTGGGGTGGCTGCCGAATGGGGGGCTTTGGATCCTGAATTAGTCAGAACAGTGCATAGCGTCGATTCCTGTTGTGTCCTCGTGTTGCAGCGGCTCCTAGCTATCAGTCGTCACGTGTCGTTGACCTGTGGTCGTACCCGCCAAGATAGACTAGGCCGCGAGCAACACCGAGAGAGGGCTAGGGTTAATAGTGCCAACCAACGTAAATGCCGCCTCGTCCAACAAGGACATGATGTCCTGAAGATGAGCACTGTTTTTAAATGTAAGTTTTGTTCCAGACGTTTCCCTGCCTTGAAAGGCCGCTTGGATCAGTTTTGGCCTGAGGCCTGTCCTGGCCCCGTGGTGTTGGGTCCCGCTTCGAGGGATGGGCCCTCCGCTGGGATCGGTCCGTGGAAGCCAGTCGGGCCCGATGGCGGTCATCATCCGAGTGTTTCACTGTGCCATTCCTCACACCAGTTGTTTGTGTACCGAGGAGTTTTTTTTTGTGCTGCATGTGGAAATTTTTGTGTAGGGACCCCTGTGAATCTGGCTGTGATCTGCCCTCTGCGTGACCAGGTGCACCCCAGGCCCTGTAGCACTACAGGGAAGCAGAATCTCAGCAGGTTGAAGAGGGGACTCCCGCCTAAATACGGCATGAGTTTCCCTGAGGCGTGAATGAGGTATAGGGGCTGAGCTTGCACTCAGGAGCCCGCCACCAGGAATCCCAGGAATTCCCCTCTTCCTCCTCCCCATCCTCCTCATCCCCCCACTCCTCCTCCTCCTCCTCCTCCTCCTCCTCCTCCTCCCTCTCCTGCTTTCTTCTTCTTCTTCTTCCTCCTCCTCCTCCTCCTCCCTTCGGCACGCTGTGCCTCCTCCTCCTCTTCATATTCCTCGTCTTCCTCATCCTCCTGTTCCTCCTCCTCTTTCTTTTTTCTCCTCATTCTTCTCTGAGTCACCATCGCCATCATCAACAACATCATTCTTGCCATCATCGTCCGTGTCATCATTGACATTATTTCCCCTTTTGTCCTCCACATCATCCTACATGCCCCCTTGTCCTTTTCCTCTACCTCTTCCTCCTCCTCCTTGTCCTCCTTCTCCTCCTCCTCCTCCTCCTCATCTATCTCTTCCTCCTCGTCACCATCATCAGACCTCTCCTCCTCCTCCTGTTCGTCCTCCTCCCTCCCTCCCCCGTCTGCATCGCAGGCCTACCTGCTTGTTGCCACTGTCGCTCGTTTGTTTGGCCACGTTCACAGATGCCTGTGCGCATTATTGAAGTCGCTCCGAGCGTTTTCGACGCGGACACAGTTCTTCATGAAGGGCCGAAGCTGTGAACTTTGCTGGCCCGCACGCGCCCGTCACCACAACCCGCCTCTCCTGTCTTCCCTTCGTTCGCCCAGCTTGTTTGCTCTCCACGGCGATAAAGTTTGTCTTCCGCCGCCGGCGACCTGCTTGACCCGTAACCCGCGGTTTGCCCACGAGTGTTTGTCGAACAACGCGGCACGGAAAAGGAAGTCCGTGGTCTGCACGCCCTCGTGGCTTGAATTGTTTAAGCCAATCGTTTTGTTTCGAACACTCCGCCAGCGAATATTGCTTCATTACTGCCGCTTGCGTGTGCCGTTGTGAGGGGTGTGAAGCTGTTGGGTGGTGGAAGTGTTCCCTGGGTGTCAGGTTAGGCTCGCCCCGCGGAGAACCAGTCCCTGGGCATAGCGATAGCCAAATGAAGCCGAGCATGTCCCCACCCCGAGGTTCGCCATCACAGCCCGAGAACACAGAAGCAACAAAGAGTCCATGACAACCGCCCAGGTGTTCACGTCCCTGTTTGCCGTTCGAGGGATGTCGGAGGCATCGTGGAGGACTATCGGGGGCCCCTTGGGGCCTTCCGAGCACATTGGGAAGCCATCATTGGTTTCGGGAGGGCCGCGTGTTGGCTGTCTTGGACCTTATTGGGCCATCTTGGGGCCTCCTGGGGCTATCTGGGCCAGTCACTGACATGACCGTGTCATGTGGCCGTCTTGGCGGCCTCTTGGAGCCCTCTTGGGAACCTTCTGTGGTTGGTTTTGCATGATTCTGGTTTCTGTTGGGGGCTTCAGGTCTGCAAGATTGACTCGTCTTTGGAGTCTGCTGGGCTATCTCAGACCATACTGGGGCCGCCTGGGGCAGTCGTAGGGCCGTCGGCCATCAGCCTGCACAGGGAGCGAGGGGATGGGGCCCCCACCTCCGACGTCTCGGTGTTTTCGAGCGGGGGTCTTCGGAGCTCCCGACCCTTTCCTGGGACCGGCCTTTGACACCCTGGAGGCAGCCCCTGGACGCCCTGAAGGGGAAGGGAAGCCTCCAGCGATAGTTTGGTTTCACCCGAGCCGTCAGAGCTTCGATTGGAAGATGAGCAATGGGAAGAGGGAGGTGGCAGTGGCCCCGCTTCGGGGCAGGCGGACTTGCACGCATCGTAGAAAAGAAAGTATGGCAAAGAGCGCTTCCATGGGAGGGAGAGGAAACGGTGACCGTGACCAACGCTGTACGCAGACACGTCCGCGGCGATCTTGGCCAGCGTTCATCAAGGTCCTCGTCAATTCGTGGATCATCCTCGCGAGTCGGCGACGGTCGGCATGGATCATGACCAAGATCGGCGTCGACAAGATCCCGCGATAACTTGGTCATAGTCCTCGTGCTTCTTCCCTCGATCCATGCCCCTTGCTGGTCAGGCGCTCGACCGTTGCCAGTGGCCGACATCAATTGGCCAGGCTCTCTTTCAAAGGGAGGTGGGTCTGGATAAGAAGGCCAAGCATAGTGCATGACTCGACGTCTCCACGCTGGCGGACCATTGTCTCCACCACCATACTCCATTGCTTCATCCTCAGAGGAGGGAGCGGTACCGATACCTCTGCCCGTCCCTCGTACTCGCATGTTTGGGCCTCCCGGGAGGCCCTCGTCGCCACGGCTGCATTCGGCTCAAGATCCTGCTCGGAACGCACCAGGGGAGAGGCACAGGGAGCACAGTTGGTGCGAGGATTGAGAACAGACCTTGCCTTGCAGGGGTACGGTCGGACCGAGGTATCAGATCGAGGTCGGTTTGGGGAGGGTACCCTAGGGTTCTTCGTGTTTGTTGGACGTTCTTGTGCATCGTGGGGAGGGTGTCCTCGGATGTTCTGTTTGTTTTGGCCGATTGAGGGTCTCATGTTCTTGAGGGATGTTCTTCTGGCCTAGGTCTGAAAGTATCCTCATGTTCTTCGTGTTTGGACGCTCCATTTTGGAGTTCTCTTCGTTCTGTGCATTTTCATAGGGGCTTTTGGCCTTCGGCGACGGGGCTCATTTTCTGGGCCTCCTCCTCCTCCTCCTCCTCCTCTCCTCCTCCTCATCCTTCTCCTCCTCCTCCTCCTCCTCCTCCGTCTCCTCTCCCCTCCTCCTCCTCCTCCTCCTCCTCGTCCTCCTCCTCTTCCTCCTCCGCCTTCTCCTTCATCTCCTCCTCCTTCTCCTCTCCCCTCCTTCCTCCTCCTCCTCCTCCTCCTCCTCCTCCGCCTCCTCTCCCCTCCCCCTGCCTCCCTCCTCCTCCTCCCTCCTCCTCCTCCTCCTCCTCCTCCTCCTCCTCCTCCTCCTCCTCCTCCTCCTCCTCCTCCTCCTCCTCCAGCGCAGCGTTTCGTCTATAACGGCATCGGCTCTCCTTTGTCCGTCTTCGTCCGTTGCACTTCTGTGTCATGCCGTTTTGGCCTTTCGTTTGCTCGGGCGCCCCGCGGCGTGATTCCCCGAGCCCGCCGCGTTGCCTGGCGACTAGCCACAAGAGGAGTCTCCACCGTGCCCATTCGAGCAGACTCTCCCCATCGTCATCGGGGAACGCGGGACTGCGGTGCGCGGTGCCGCGCTCGGCGCATCAAGCGCTGCGGTCGTCCGTCCCTGGCTGGTTGCGCACCTGCCGCCGCCGCGGACGCTGCGCGCACATTGTCGGTTCGCGCATGCGCTGCCAAGATCAAGGCCAAGGAGGCAGGCGAGGCACGGGCCGCCCTTGTCTCGCGTGTTTGTTGCTTGCTCTGGCTAGGTGATCCTCCGACTCCCCGAGGCGCCGTCGAACGATCGCTCCAGCCATGCCTCCAGCCCGCCTCGGGCCTCACCGCCTGTTTGATCGCCGGCTTGGGCCGCCCGGGCCAGCTGCGCACCTGCTGCCGCCGCGAGCGCTGCGCGCACGTGTTTGGTCCGTGCGCGCGCTGCTCGTCCTGGCCATAACCGCTAGCCCGCTTCAAGCCTCGATTTGGCGGCGGAGCATGCCCAGCCACTCCCTCCGCCATCGTCAGGGAGATTGCGCAAGCCGCCCTCCGCAGGCTGCGGGCGCCGCTCAGGCGCCGCATTGGGCCTCTCTGCCCTCCCACAGCACGCGGCTCGACGGCGACGTGGCGGCCACCCGGGCCTCGCATGCCGACCGCTCGTCCACGCCGACGCCGAGGTGAGGCATTGGTTTTCAGTGGGGCGTTTCCCTCTACAGGAGTATTCAAAAAAACGTAAGGACAAGCAGTCTGGGGACGATATTTCGACTACGTTTGAGCATGTTTCGGGTATTTTTCAGTTTTCGCCCAAAACCCGCCTGCAGAGGGACATGCCCGACCTAACCCTAGCGGGCGCGACGAGAACTGACCGTCGTTCGGACGTCGTCGCTGCGCAGTGCCCCGCGGAGGTTCACGCTCCACGGGCGGAGCCCCGCGAGCTCGGCGACCTGCGCGGTGGACCTCACATTCCTGGCACTGGCCTTACGCCGGGCATGTCCCTTTACAGTCCCTTTATAGTCCGGAGACGATTGTTCTATCATTTGTTTGATCATTTTTGGGGGTATGTTTGGCAATTGTTAGTTTTTCGTCCCATATCCACCTGTAGGAGGACACGCCCGACCTAACGCTGGCCCCCTTCGGCCCTCGGGGTGAACCTTCGTGCTCTGGATGCGGATCCGCGCGCTCCTCGTGCCGAGTCCCGCGAATGTCGGGACGAACTTCGCAGTCCTCGTCAAGAGCGCTGCGCTTATCATGCTGACCTCTGCGTTCTTCGTGCGGCGCGTCACGGCATCCGCGCGGAACCCGACGACCGTCGGGCTACATTCCGTGCCCCATGCGCAACAGCTCGCGGTCCAGATGGCGCGCGGCGGCTGCTCTTGGCCGCTCTTGGCGGCGCTCCTGATAGACGGAACGATGGTATTCACATTGCCGTTGGCCTTAAGCTCATGCTGGTATTCCACGAAGCCTTCGTTCGGAACCCATGAAGTCCACGGCCCGGGTGCCGAGCATGCAGCTCCAGGCGACGTTCCTCACGTACGAGGCGTCCACCCTTGTGATCCTCGCTCCGCTTGCGGACCCTCGCACGCGCCTTGCCGAACTCGATATTTCTTGTGGCGCTCGTTGCGATCAGAGCGTCAACTCCGCGGCCCTCATGAACGCTGAGCCGCAACTCCGCGCTCGAAGAGCTGGACGCGGTTCCGGCGCGCAGCTTGACGGCGCGCGCGAAACGGGGAACGAGAACACCAAAAGCGACGACTATCACGTCTTGGACTTAACTCATACCCGCGGCCAAGAACTCGTAGATGCTCTTCGTGCGCGTTCGACGGTGGCCCTAGAATTAGCGCGTTGTTCAGGTCGTGCAAGGTTTAGGCGCGGGCTGCCGCGGCCGCTTGCGCGGCGCGCGGCACGTAGCTTGGAGACCTGCCGCATAAGCAGTGGTACGTGAAAATGTTCCTTCATCCCTCCGGTCGGTCTGTGTCCTACTGCGTCCAACTGCACCAGATATATTGCGCAACGTAGAGTTCACAACATACCTTTCCTTTCTAAAAGAGAATTGGGATCTACCCCCCCTCTGGACTTATCGCGTCCCCCGGGGGATGTGCAATTTTCATGTGATTATTCCCAATCGTCCATCCTAATATGAATCCGTAACATCCCAGGCAGGCTGGTATCCCCCCTTCATCCTCGGCAGAAATGTTATACGCGTGCGCTCACTCGTTTATATTAACAATGTTAGTTTCCAAGAATTCTTGCAAACCACGGGACGCAGTTCACACGCGCCGGTCGTCGCGCGCTTATGCCGGAAACAAACAAAAGCCTTAGGTGTCGCAAAGATGTCCAAATCGACTGCCGCGAAAACATGTTAATAACACATAGTTTCGCAACAAGATGTTCAAACATGACTGCGCTCGCGCTCTTGCAGCTTCTTCAGAAAACCATGCGCCTTCAACATGTTCACAACTTGCTACAAAAAAGGCTTCTCGCGTGCGCATGTCGAAATCGCTCGAACGCCTTTGCGCGCGTGCTATCGTAAGAATTATGTGCAACAGACGGGGCGAAACGCACGCGCGCGCGTGTTGTCGCGCGCGGATGCCGCGATCTTTTAACATTTTCTTTTGCCCTTAGGGTATCCAAAACGAGTGTCCCGATACATATACTTATGTGTGTATATACATGTGTTGTGTGTACATACATATATGTATACACATATATATATACATATATTTATATATCGATATAGCGGTGTTGCAACGTCAGCTGTCAACTTAGCTCGAGCTCTTGGAGATTCTTCAGGACACCATTGTTTTGCTCCAGCATTGTCGTCGAATTCTGCCAAGCGGGTCTCTCCTGCCGCATGTCGAACTCACCCCAACGCCCTTTCGCGCGTGCTGGGGGGGGCACGATCCGCATTGCATAATACCACGCGGGCCACTCGCGCGCCGGCCGCGCGCACATGCCGAACTCCTTTGAAAACTGTCATCGCCGACGCGAGGACATCTTTATTGTTATCGGCGGGCGTGATCGACATCGGCGCCGTCGTTGGCCTTGCCGTCGTCATCGCCATCGTCGCCATCATAGCTGCCCCCATCATCGCGTCTACCGTTGTCGGCGTCGCCCTAATACCGCACCCGCCCAAGCTGCCGGCTCGCATTGAAGCGCCCGTTGGGAAGTGCCCAGCGGTCAGCGAAGCCGCGGCCGCGTCGGCCCCCCCAAACTAGCTGGCCGCTGCGCGCGCGAGCCTGCGCGGGCTAGCGCGGCCGCAGAGATGCACCAGCCAACGCCAAGCACTCATCGCAATCGCTGCCGCATGGATTGCGCGAGCAGTGGTGTTCGCAACTCACTCCGAGCAGAAATTAATTATCATCTTTTCAAAAAAAAAGGATTCTACCCCCACCCCCCCCGGGATTGCCGCTCCCCCCAGGGGATGTGCCGTTTACATATGATTCCGCCTCTTTGTTTAATTCCCGTTTGAATCCATACCATCCTAGCCAATTCCGGTACCGCCCCCTTTCATCCATGTCAAATAATGCCATGCGGTGCGCGCGTGCTGATCCATGATGAGCTGAGCGCGCGAATCCTTATGAAATAATGCAATGCGGGCCACGTGC